AAATTTAATAATAATTTTTTTTTAATTTTTTTTTGAAAAATCACTGACAGAATATATTTTTATTTTAATTAAAATAAATTTTATCAAAAAAAAATTTTAAATATAATTTTTTTTTTGTAAATGTAAGTATTTTTTTTTGTTATATTTGTTTAATTTTATAGATTTAAATATTTTTTTGTTCAAAAAATATTTAGGGACTTAATCGTTCAAAATATGAATGTTCATTAGGGGTTTTTTCGGACTTTTTTTTTCACTATTTTACCACTTTAACTAATTGTACAAGTCATAAGAATGTAACCAACATGTTTTAGAAAAGTCCAAAGAGTTATTTAACATGTTTTGGATTGTCCAAGAAATTATTTGTTCCAAAAATTGTCCAATGAGTTATTTAACATGTTTTAAATTGTCCAAAGACTTACATGTTTCAAAAAATTGTCCAATGAGTTATTTAACATGTTTTGGAATGTCCAATGACTTATTTGTTCCAAAAAATTGTCCAAAGATTTAATCATTTCAAACACTAAAGTCCAATGAGTTTTTTTAGACTTTTCCCTATATATATATACATATATATATATATATATATTTGTTTGCCTATTTATTATTATATCACTCTATAAATTTTTATTTCAATTATGATGAACGGTCATGTCCCGAATGGTATTAGAGCCATGATTTATGTTCATAGGGAGGTAATGAGTTATGATATTTATGTTAATGAATTTGTCCTAGAGATGAGTTTGTTCCATAAGAAAATGAAATTTTATAATGATAATTGGATATTAGCTTTGGTTAGCCTTAGACGTTGGAGTAGCGTAAGTCACGCACCAGGGAGCGTAAGACGTGCAGCCGTACCAGTCTAAAAGAAAGCCACTAATAGCTCAAAGATCATTAGAAAAATCTAATTTTCTTAGAAGAACAATACTCAAATCTAAGCACAATTGAGTTAATATAAATAACATAATGAATTTATTCCCTAAAAGACATAATTCTAGCAATGAAATCAATGATGAACAAGATCTTCATTTAAATTCATCAGAAATTCATATTAGTGATATAGAACAAAGTTTATCAGAATGGACAATTGCAAAACAAGATATTAATACAATTTATAAAATAGGTCATTTTGATTTTTTTCAAGGTTATTCAATTAAAGCAACAGAACAAACCTTATCAATTAATAAAGATTATGAAAATCTTAACCTTTTACAAAAACTGCTATAATTCAACACAGAAAGAAATATAAGTTCTTACATGTTGGTTTATTTCAAGTAGCAATCAAACCACTCTTTAAACTAGGCATAGATGCCCCTGTCCTTTTAATTCTAAGAGATGCTAGACATACTAATTTTAAGAATTCAATATTAGCAATGGCAGAAACTAATATTTCTAATGGTCCAATTTATTTCAATTGTTATCCTAATTTCTCAGTAGAATTATTTGATCCAAATAGATACTTTAGTTTTAACAATTAAAACTAAGAATTTAGAATTCAAAGAAGATACCAAAGCTGTCACAGTTATTTATCGAATTTGTTACAAGACTATGTCTTCAACAATCGAGTCAAAGACTAAGATAGCAAGTCCAAAAAATGAAACCATAATATTTGAATCAAATCCCCTACACACTAAAGTTCAAATTCCAAAACGTCTTAAATGGAATGAAATTACTCAATCTTGCAACTGGAATCTCCAAAATATTCATCAACCTAAACAAATAGAAAGTTCTAATCAACACTCAAATATTACTGAACATGAAGATGGGTCAATAGATATTAATTTCGAGTCTTTTCCATTTGTTCCAACAATATTTTCTATAGGATCAACCAGTAGCGTTGATATGAAAACACCTTTGATTTCAAAATCTAAATCTTTAAGATATGTAGACTTCAATACAAATATTCCAAAACCAATTTATCAAGAAAATGATTTTGAAGAATATAGTCCTATCCGTTCAGAAGTTTTATCTGAATTAAATAATTTCAAAAATCAATTATAAGTAATAAAATTCAAGTACGTCACGGGTTTTATGTAGATCATATAAGAATGATTAAACAAGAATGGAAAGCCCTAGAAGTAAGTCAAAATCATCTAGACGAATTAATAAAAAATTTAGAGCATCTTCTAAAATATCAAAATAGATTAAATCAAATACTTTATGATCCTTATTTTATTCCAAATATCTCTCTAATCAAAAAAGAACTAGAACAAACAAAAAATAAATATAAATTCGGCTGAAAAAGATATAGAAATAACAAAATAAAACATCAAAAGATTTTTCAACAATGTTAAAATACTTTCATCTCTCTTAGCTGAAAAAACTTGTTAAATGTCTCAATCAACAATTAATATGCAATATCTTTTCAAAGAATTTTATGCTGATCATAATAAAGAAAAACGAGAGTATTATTGTAAAACAATTAATGATTCAAATAAAGAATTTTTGCATCAATTAG